TGCTTTTGTTTTGATTACAATTACCCAATGATATTTTAAGGTATGGCTGTATAATTGTTTCACAATTTCAGTATCTGAATGTAAAGATATAATCTAAATCTAATTTAAAATTAAAGACACAGATGAAGAAGATGTTGATAGAACTAGTGACTAAAGCACCGAAACACTGAAACGTTCCCACTGGGCCACAAACGCAAAGTCTTTCAAAGGGTAAATTAATGCAATACCTACTAATCATTGGTATTATATTTCATTCCATTATCAAGAAAGAAATGGGGAGCCATTTAAAACATATTTACAAAGCTATCCATCTTTACCCACTTTGTTAATGTAAGGGGGAAGAGGAAGGATAACTAAAAATATCTGCAAAATAAATTAACAAATGTTTTCTGTGAACTTTGGCTTATTTGGAAAACGACCCATTGAAAAATGTCAGTCAAAAATAGCTCATAGAATTATAGAATCATTTAGATTGGAAAAGACCGTTAAGATCAAGTCCAACCACAAGAACCATTGTGCATGCATACCACCACAAAAATAATACGCTCAACTTCTACATGTTTCCCCCTTTTTTCCCTGTCCAATAATTCACCCAATTTAAAAAAAAAAGGTGGGGGGGGTGGGGTGGTGAGAAAAAGAGACCAACAAGAGAAGTTTTCACTGTTACCTGAATCATGTAAACTAATACTGTGGCTGCTTTGTCAGGATCTGGATTTTGTAAGCGTGTGCATAGAAGACTCACCAAATCCCGATAAAGAGCCTGTGTTCTGCTTCAGCTCCAAACCAGACAGTTCTGTCAGACTGGATGGCACTGGAAGATATATCTGCTTATTACGCACCAAAGGACTTAACACTCTTTGGTCTCCTGCATGGGAAAAAAACCCAAACCACAGACTTAAATTTACTCCTTAATAATTTGCATAATATCCCTAAGAATCAAACCATTCTGAACAGCTGGTGATCTTTATTTTTTACCAGAATGAATAAAGAATTGCCATAATAATTAAACCAATCTGCTATCCTAATCAATCACTGTTTTTATATGACAGGCAAGCAGCAGCAATGGGGAAAGAAATGTGTTTCGTGGCTCTTCCAGGCTTCACCACAGTCAGCAGTGATAGCACCAAATCACTTGCTTTTCAAAGACAAAACCACACAAGCACAACAGGAAAACTATCTCTTTGCATCAGGGTTCTGAATTAGAAACTAATTTTATCTAAGTAGACTAAAATGTTAAACACCCAATAAAGGATTAGAGAATTGTGTGGCTTCTGGGGGAATGCGTCATATGACACTTCATAGACATCCTTTCTTCACAGGTAGAAGAAAGGATGCTCTTCCATGGGCAAAACAAAGGGCAAAAAGTGATAAAAAAGCCATATGCACAAGGCAGTAGAAGGACAGCGGGTTCAGGACATGACGCAGCAGTAATTATATTTAATTACAGTAGCCAATTAGACAAAGCTGGCACTCTTACATATTCTACTCATAATACAGCCTTTACCATTCAGTTAATAAAAAGAGATATTAAAACCAAACAAACCAAACTGTTGAGTATCACCTTGCCTTCCTGCATAATTTTTTTCCAGATCATGCTGCAGAAGCCTGTTGTGGAAAGATGACTGTTCTTTATTGATCCGGAATTCAAACTGTAACACAGGATTTAAGACAAATGTTAGTTTTCAAGTTACGTCTTTACACAGACAAACACAACCTTAGTAACCACTACAGTTCTTCGGACACTCTGCAAATGCTTTAAAAAAATTAAATAATTGCTCCAACAAAAAAATCCCATTCATTCTATTAAGATACTATGACTGAAAAGTTTCAGTGTGTTGGAAACCAAAATTAAAATATGGAAGTTACCAGCACATTCATTGGCAGTTGACTAAATAAAGAAAAAAAATCCACTCTATAAAGAACACTACAACTACGGGAGGAAGAGAGGTACGGATGGAAGTGTAAGAAATTGTATCTATGTATAGATACGATATAGCATATGGCAGACTATAGTATATCCCTGTGGTTTTACTTCATGTATCTTTAATAGGATGAAATAAGTTACCAACAGACTATCAGATACATCAGATGTTATATTAAGAGTCCACACATTAGTACTGAAAAGGCAATTCCCAACTGAAAGCATGCAAATTTGGCCATACCATACAATTGTATTAATTAACTATTAAAGAAAAGGTAATAATTACTGGTTTGCTTTTATCTGTTATCGATGAGGTCTGGATAACCAGCTGAAGACCACAATTATTGACCTGCAAGTTAGAAGAAAAAAAAAATGGAATATTACATTTTTTCAAAAAACACATACCAATACAACAAGTTGAATGCAATGTGTTTTTTTTAAAAAAAACAATACAGGTATTTTCAACAGCAAAATCTGCCAAGAAAGGAACTATTTTGCAAAACCATTATGAAGAATATGTCACAGCACTAAGTAACATTAATTTTGACTTTAAAAAAGAAAAAAAACACCTCGCCCTTTTTAGTTTTAAAAATACACGGAAAGCATGACTCTCATAGGGATGTAACCCTCATTTTGAAGAAAACAGGTGCTTACATCTAAATATGACTTTTTTTTTTTTATGAAGGCAAAACGTGCCGTTCATTTAACTGGATGTGGTGACAGAACGCACCATCCACCCGCTGAACAATGAGAGCGTATGACAGAAACATTTAACCAAAGGGCCTACACCCCCCCCCAGCCCCTCCGCGGAGGGACACACACAGCCCGGGACTCCCCTCAGCTCCCTCACCGCAGGGACGGGACCGGCCCGACCTCCCACCCCCCGCCCTC